TTACGCTTATCGGCGATTCGCTAGATTGCAACTACTCTATTTTCTGATGTATTAGGTGCGCCTGTGTATACGGATTTTAAAGGCAGTTGGCACGATGATTGGGTGCTCTGCCTAAAATACTAGTAATGCGCTATATAGGGGAAATGGCGAAAGAACGGAGTAAAACGGAATCCCACGAAAAAAAGTTCTCGTTCTCACTGTGTTAGTAATCAATTTTGGACGAGTTTCACGAAGGCATCTTACCAATAACCGCTACTGAAGGTACGACTGCATAGGTGTACCCATATAATCCATACAGCATCGCGGCCGCTTCATATCAGTCCCTTCGCTTCACAGTTTGCCTAGCAAATGAATCAATTAGAGCGTCTGGAACAGTCGTCCATTAGTGGGCGGGCGGCAAGGGGCGTTTGGGACGTAAAGTTGTGGCTTTAGAGCCCTTATAAGGGCTTTTCCCTGGAAAAGGCATTATTCGTCCTGCAGGCGTCTTAGTCCTGCTCGTCTTGGAGGATTTATCGTGCCAACTGCCTTTAAGTGAGTCCGCTTTGAATAGTAATTAGAACATAATCTTCTGTCTCCCAATAGGTGTCTCCGTACATGACACGGGACTTCAAATATTACTCCCAAATGCGCTCAGTCACCAATTTTCCATACCAAGAATTCTGGGACAGCTCGGTGGGAGGGGGAGGAGGGGGGCATTTCGGGGCCTTTTTTTTCCCCTCCCCCCTTGGGCTGAATTTCCAACGATATGTCCACAAATCTAGAGTGCCTTTTTGAGTTGACATGTTTTGCCATAATGTTCGACGAGCTTGCTCCAGCTTCGCAAGAGTTCACGGGATTCACTGAAGTGATCTTGTAAACCGGAACTTGTGAAGAGCGAAAGTATTAATGCCTCCACTGTCGCCAAACGCCAGAAACTGCGCTCACAAAGAAAAATTGGTGACTGGACGCAATTGGGGGTAATAAATGAAACCCAGTGTCAGGTATGTGACTGCGGAGACAGCAAGGGTCGTAGCTAGTCATATCAAAGAACAGACTTGCGCACATGAGAAGCGGTACTCGTTCAATTCTATTGACTTTTAGTCTTGAATGTTGTGCTGTCTCGGAACCTCATTGCAATCTGAATATAAAACACATGAAAGAGGCAACAAAAATTTTATTGCAAAATACTCAAAAGATCCAAAAATCCAAAAAGTCTAGCAAAAAAATTGTTTTTTCTAATCCTTCCTTCGGTTGTTTCGGTGCCTTTCTTCAGCGATCTGAAATACTACAGTTAGTCGCTACCAACCATATCCTGGACCCTGCCTCCACTGGTGTTCCCCATCCGGACTCCGACCTGGTCTGCTGCCTCCAATACCTACCTCCATTGCTAAAGGCGAAAGCCGCCCTCAGTGTTGACTGAGTGGACCCCTACCCGTCAGTTCAGTGAGATCGGAGGCCTCAGTGAAAGCAGGTCTGGGATTCGGTTGGTGGCGAGTAACTGTAGTATTTCAGATCGCTGAAGAAGGTGCTAGGCACCGAAATATTCGAAGGGAGGATTAATGAGTTCTTCTTCTGCCTAGCGTTAGTCCCGCGCCGTCGCAGGGTCCGCTGTTCTTGTTCGACGTCGCCACTTGTTCCAATCCACGCACCTTCTGCTGTGCTATTCAGAAATCCAAGAACCTCGTAAGGCCCAAGACTGTTGAGCTTACGACTTAGTTGCCGAGGGCAAAAAGAGAGAAGCTGCAGAGTATTGGAAAGGCTGTTGCTGTGGTCCAGCTACTGGCACGTCATACCTTCATATAGCTCAGTGAGAAAATGTAGCCTCATAAGAATATTTAGTGCGGCACATCGATCGGTTAGAGAAGGCACTCGGACAAAGAGTGTATTCATGGCGAGATACTTGTTTCGAAACTCAAACCGCAATATGGTGCGCCGCAAATGTGTCAGTGCTGAAACCTTATATATATATTTTTTTATTTAATAATATGCACATACAGTTTAGAGCTCTATTCACAAACGCCTCTTGTTCACTCGGCTTGCAGAGCTTCGTAAGGATTCTCAACTGTGTGACGTGGTTCTCGCCGTCAAGGTGGTCTTTTTGAGAAGTGTGTTTGACATACTCGGGTGAAAAATATTTCAGGAGGAACGAATCAGCGCCCATCGAGTCGTACTGGCTGCATCTTCGAATTATTTCAAAACCTTGTTTACCAGGGACATGACTGAAAACCGCTTGCGTATGTTCAATAATTATAATTTACATGTTCTTCCGGTCAATCTTCTTCAAAAATAGTACATACACTGGCAATTAAATGCACAAATATTGCAAATACATTCCTTCTTATTGACTTGCTAGGTTTTTCTCAGAAGACGTGTATTTGGGTGAATATGGAGAGCATCTGTTGTTGACGCCCTTGTGAAGTTCTGCTACTCTGGAGAGATAAACATTAGTAACGCCAATGTGTTGAACATTCTATCCACTGCTCGTTTGTTTCAATTGGACCAGGTTGAGGTTGTGGTATTTTCACGAGAAAGGGTACTATAAAGTTGTGATCCTTCATCTCTGTTGTAGGAGTTGTGTCATGAATTCCTGAAAAGAAAGTTGGAGCCCGACCAGTTCCTTGGCTAATACGACCGGTTACCGACAGTATTTCGTGTCCTGAAGCCGACGAGAATGTCTTGCATAACTTCGAAGTTATTACTTTATTGTTAGTGACCCTTAGCTTTGCAAAAATCTCTTTTTTTTCAGAATGCTGTGAATACGGAAAAAGCTCATGAAATTCTCGTTAACCAGCTAGTTGAACTGATTTTAAATGAAGAGCTAAGCGTACGATTAATGGTGCAGGTATATGGACCAGTTTTGTGTGATATCGTAATGTTGCTTTGTGGCCACTTTATGCTCATTCTATTCTTGATTGACCGCTACAAACTCTTTTAGATTGTTAATGCAGTGCTTCGGTGGATCAGGTCCGACCTGTCAGCTCGAAAACAATTTCTATCAGAGGTAAAACCCTGGGTACCTCGTCGGGATAGCTGTTTTGATTTCTGATACTGTAGGTGAAATCCTTGACAACACAGCAAGCGGTGAACTAAGATCTGCCGTCTGTCTTAATACCTTATTTCTCAATTTTCCCTTTTTCAGAGTTCCTACTCATTACAACTATCTACACCCGAACGACTCAGCAAGCAGTTACTAAGCACCCATCAGAAGGATTCATCCAAATTTCGTGAAGTATTATACGTTGGTATGACGAAAGCTAGCAGGTTTTTTCCCTGCTTCAACATTGCGATTCTGGGATGGCACATATAAAGGATAAGGGATGAGGTCTTCGCCACTGATCAACCCCTTTGTAGAATGCGGCACGCATTCTTTTGTATCAAAATATCTTATGTGCGGGCTTAATGTTTCGCACTAGGCACAGCAATATACGCCCGAAATAAGGCCGCCACATCAACGCTATCAATTTCAATGTGAAGTTGGAATGAAATTCTTTCCAAAATTTTTTCAGAGGGCTCAATAAGAAGAAGGGAGGGGCCACGGTGGTCGAACTTGTTCGTAGAACTGCTTTTCGAGTGTTTGGCATATGTTTCAATAAAAAGCAAAACTAAGAAATGCATCAATGATTGGAACCGTCGTCGCATTGCTATGAGCCCACTCTCCTACCTGCGCGCCATCGAAGCACGCGGTTTCACGAGTGGATCACAACCGCAAATTGTGGGCAGGGACGCACCGCAATAGTTAAGCACACCAACAAAGAAGGTCCGTAACTTCTCCCCTAGAATCGTTTAGCAGAATTGGAGTCAAACCTAATAAAAGCGTCAAAATATGCTTTTAGGAGTATACATCCCATACTGAATGGTATCCTTCCCTTGTCAGACTGGCGTTCTCTGTGCCAAACGATGCCAGAGCGCTTGGAGTCAAAGTCTGCGGAACCGCCGTTCATGTCGCAACATACGGTGCTGAATTATGGGCCACGTCTAAATAAGTTGAAACCGGCTTTTATGAAAATGTTGCGCTGGACAGCAGGCATCATGTGCATGAATCGATGGACGACATACGCAAGGGACTCGTTGTAGCTCCCGTGGTCAAAAAAATGCGCATGTGAAGTTGGAAGCTTGCCTCCGGTGGTATGGTCATGTATTGCGCGAGAATTCCGACACCGTCCGTAGGACAAATCTCAAGCTCGAGGTGCTCGAAAAGTGGCCCAGGTGACGATCCAAGCAGCACCGGATGTACACGTTGCATTCGTACTTGAAAGTAGTTGGCATCCATTAGGCATCCAGTCGGGAGAAGTGGCGTCACAAAATAAGAGCAGCACCGCCATAGAGCGGGCAAGCGCTGGTTAAGGTATCTCCTCAATAAATACCTTATCACTACGCAGTCTGTTTTTGGTGTGCATCATTTGTATCCAATGGTCCCTCAGCACTACAGAATATTGAGATGCATTGTCTTTTCCCTGCTGAGTTACTTTTCAGTGGGAGGATACGGCCACGCTTCCGGAGAATACTTCGATCCTGGGGAGAAATTTCCAGTGTGGCGTCGAATCCCCTCCATGAGCATTACAAGGTAGGTCATAAAATAGTGAGTGTGCTTTCCAATAACAACTTCCTTTTATAGAGCATATGCCGGCGTTGCTGCTCTCGACGATTTGCTTTACGTTGTTGGCGGCTTGAGTGACGGAAAGCCTGTGAATAGTGCTGAGAGGTATTAAGCGAATTCTAACCTTTTTTACGAATAACTAGAGACAAAATTGTGTAATATTACGGTTCGGTATTCACTGCGTGACAGAACTATCAATAGTTGCAAAAATTGTTTCTCAGAAGTGACTATTTGACCATCTCGATTGTTGTTGGTAGACCTGATTCATTTTATGTACATGGTAGAAGCCAGTGGAAATGCTTGGTATGGGTACAGTCAGGTGTGTGGTGCGAACTGCCTTTACGACTGCTCTCACCTTTGATCTCGAGAAATAGTGTAAAAGGAAGTTACGTACTTGGCGGCTCTGTGAGATATCGCCCTGGAGCAACCATATCGTCTGAGCGTTTCCTGAGCTCTGAGGATGGTCTGTCGTGTTATCTCTACCTTGAATACCGATTCTTGAGGTAGGGCAGCTAGAGAAAAATTTGGAACAAGACCTGGAACAAGCTCTAGCCGCGCCCTTTTGAATAGTTCGGTCAGAGTTTTTCCAATGCATATAAAAATCTTGTCTGCTCAGTTAAAGCGTGCCGGGAAAACGCTATTCCGAATTTTGTGGCCTGAATAATCAAAGTGGAAGTCGGGCAGATTTTTGAAGAATATTGCGTGCTACACGCATTGGCTGCGTGTTAGAGCCCGTTTGGGCGCTTCAACACTCAACAGTTACAAGCGCGCTCAGCAATATTCTACTATTCCTATCCCAGTGACCTCCTAAACATGAATATCACATCCGCTTGCCCCGAAACCGCCTGGCACCCGCGCCAAGGCGCCGGCGCCAGAACATTATAAATCACCAAAATTGATTTAGATTTAGATTTATTGCATGTGGGTCAACACATGAGAAATGAACAATGCGTTCCTAGTGTAAAACTACGTGCTAGTGACATAGGCCTCGAAATGGCCACCACAACACTTGAGATACAACAACAGAAAAAAACAATAAAAAAAAAAAAACAATACAACATAGCGAGCATAGTACAAAACTGAAAGTTAGCTTAGTGGCCTCCGATGCCGATACTAAGAGAAATAAGTAAAGAAAAAAAGCCTCACTTGAAATGATGGTGCAAGAGATTTTTGAACTGAGCAATATTTTTCGGTAGCGTGGATGATTTCATCAATTTGGAAAACTGAGTGGCTGCCCTTATTGCGAAAAATTTAGTCCTCACCCTTGTTTTGGACCTGGGAACTACGAGCTTATTCTTCTCTCCCCTGGTAATTGAGTTGCGGAGGGTAAAAAAATCTTGAACCTTGAGGCTTAGCTTTCCTGTGAATATCTTGTAAACAGTAATGAGATCGAACATCTTACGTCTGTACGAGAGTGAGTCTAGGCCCAGCATCTTGTTTCTAACTATTCCTCCTAGGAATTGCATTATAAAAACCAAGAGCGCGAATCAAAATTTTCCTCGTGAAACTATTTTGGACTGTTTCCAGTTTTCTGACGTCATTTTTAGAATTAGGGAAGAAAATGGTAGTGCCGTACTCCAGAACAGGGCGAATATAAGTTTTGTATGCTTGAAGAAGTACACAAGGATCCTTCGTTAAGAGACTCTTTAAAAGTTGATAGGTCCGCCGCTCTGCTTTATTTGCTATGATTGTGCAATGCCGTTTAAAGGTCAGCTTATCATCAACAATAAACCCCAAATCCTTTACCTCTTGAGCTTTCCTAAGCTCAGTTCGGTCAATGTGATAGGTATAGGAGCTCTGGCCAGGACCGAGATGTAAGACAGATGTTTTCTCACGCGCAATCGGAAGTCCCCACCGCTTGGACCACGCGCTGACTACATCAATAGCATTTTGGATGATGTTCGAATCACTCGCATCTGAAACGGACCTATAAATTTTCATGTCATCGGCAAACACCTTGCAGTGGACTGCTGCATTCTCAACTAGTCTAGGAAGTTCGTATGTATAAATATTGTACAATATCGGTGACAGGACGCAGCCCTGGGGAACTCCACTGGATGCTGCTCTGACATTTGAAAAAGTCTTACCAAGCCTCACTTGAAATGTACGTTTAGTCAAAAAAGCTTTCCAGCCACCCTATTATTCTATTGTGTATGCCTATATGTTGTAACTTAGCTAATAGCTTACTATGTGACACTTTGTCAAAGGCCTTAGAGAAATCGAAATAAATCACGTCCACCCCATCCCCGTTATCGATGAACCTTGTCCAGTCATTCAGCGTTTCTAGCATTTGGGTAACCGTGGAACGGCCTTCGCGGAAACCGTGTTGATTGTCAGACAAAATGTTATTGTCCTCTAGGTGAGTGACCACGACTTTCTTGAGAATTTTCTCAAAAACACGACAGAATATGGACGAAATACTGACAGGCCTGTAGTTGTCAGGATTTGTACTGGGAGGCTTTTTAAGAATTGCTGTAACGAAGGCATGCCTCCATCTGTTTGGGACCTCGGCTCGGAACAGACTAAGATTGAAAATGTAGCGAAGTGGAGACACAATGGAAGGGACAACTTCCTTGATAAACCGGAAAGGGATACCATCTGGTGTTAATGCCGAAGTTGCCTTCCACCTAGATAGAACCGTATAAATGTCTTGTTCATGGAACCACAGGGAGTCGGTCATTACTGGAAATGATCCCTCTAGATGTAGTTCCTGATGCTCAGAATCATCACTACTAACAAAAATCTTCCCAAACACATCAGCTAACAACTCTGCTTTTTCTGAGTCAGCGATAGCTAAGGTACCGTCGGATTTGACCAGAGAAGTGACGCCCTGATTCTAGAGCTAATGTATTTGTATAAGGCAGCCTTGCTACGACTGTCTACTACCTTTCTTTCTAGGAGGCAGTTATATTTGTATAATTTGCTTTCAAACTTCCGATTTATATTTCTGTACGACTCCCAGTCTGAAGGAAGATCACTGTTTGTAGCACGCCTATATGCTTCAGCCCTTCTCTCGAAAGTGGAGTACAGGTACCAAGGAATGCGCTCCCGCGTCGTTTTGGTTTTGCACATCGGAATATATTTCTCTATGCAATGATGCAGAACAGCTAAAAACATTTCGTACATTTCATTCACACTGTTGAGGCTATGGAATGAACCAACCCAATCCACGTTATCTAGATAATGTCGAATTTCCTTGTAATTGGCTTTAGTAAAATCTCTTCTCCATGTGACCCCATTTTCGGTAACATGCAAATTGAGAAGAAATTCTACACAGGCATGATCACTACATCCTAGAGGAGGTTCAACATTCACTTGCTTCACCAGCGAGCTATCATTACAAAGTAATAAATCAAGCACGTTTGACCCTCTAGTACTAGTTCGGACAAGCTGGTTATAGTCTAAATTGTTTGTGGTACTAGCAAAGTATTTCGCAGCGGAAGAACCAGATTCTGAGGGGGAAGACCAGTCGATACCAGGAAAGTTAAAGTCCCCTGTTAAGAGAGAGCTGTGTCCGCCGACTGTGAGATCGCTGATGCACTTGATCATTCTTTCGCTATATTCACAGGAACAGCTAGGAGCCCTGTAACAGAGAATAATACGACACTTAACATCCTTAGTATTTAGGTCACAGGCTATGATATCATATTCTTTAGAAACCGATTCGCAAAATATAAGTGTAGGGAAAAGCTTTCTTAATTAGGAGTGCAACTCCACCCCCTTCCTCCTCTTGCGATCGCAGCGAAAGATCTCATATTTTCCGCAGACATCACCTAAAAGTGAGGAAATCTCCAAACTAGATTTGAAGCCATGTCTCCGACAAGGCGACGACTCCGTAATCTCTACTGATTAATGAATGCTTGAGCGGTAAAACATTCTTAACTACTGATCGAATATTTGTTGTGAGACACCTTACACCATCATTTATCCGAGGATTCAAGCGGCTTTTACTGGCATTGAGTCATTATCGGCATTAGTAAGCCTGGAAGCGTCACCGAGAGTAGAAGGACAAGTGCGAACATCGCCATTCGCATTAACACGTGCAGTAGGGGGGAACCAGTGGCAGCATCATTAGCACCTTCACGTCTGGCCCTTCTAAGAGCAGGCCAGGCGATCCCTCTCCGACTTTGGTAGGGAGCGTCTTATGAACACTCCAGAAATCGGGAAGAACCTCAGCCTGGGAGCTTTTCTTAGAAGATCCGTTACAAAATAACTGCTAGGTAATACAATTTTAAGAAGCCTGGGAACACCTGATCTCTTCCCCATACGGTAAATAGCCGTAGGAGAACATTCGATGTCTAAAAAGTGAAATACCTTTTTAACACACTCAACATCATGGAAAACTCTGTTCATTGCACTTGAATCTGTTGATTCCGAGATGCCTGCTATAACAACCGACCTCCCCCGTTCTTTCTCTTCACAGCAGTCCAATGGGGGCGAGCCTTCTCGGACCGGCTGTGAAGGGCTGGTGATCTTACTTCTAATTAGCGCTTCTTTTAAAGTCTGGACTTCCCTTACAAGTCTATTCTTTTCCGCAATTTCTACTTTCAATTGCTCTTCTAACTTTTGGTTCCTAGAAATGAGCTCACTGATCGTATTCGCGTTTTCTAGTAGATGTCCAACGACTGTCTTCAGGTATACTGGCAGTTGATCGTCTTTGATCAATAGGTCCAGGGCGTCGGATAGCGAGCGATCCGTGAGTGCAGGTGAACCAGTACAAAACCGCTTTACCGGCCTCTCCTGAATTGAACGAGGAGGCAAGGGAGTTAGTTGTGAATCCATGGCAACCAAAAAAACAACAAATCACCGAATCGGGTGGCACTCGAACAAATTTCCGTTCACCTGCCACGGGGTCTCGAGCGATCTTGCTGACCTATTGATTTAAAGCACCGCAGTGATGCTGTGTAGCACAAAAATAGCACAATAAAATAGCAGTTTAGCAAAGTAGTAGCTACAGCAGTAAGGCGACTTCGTGCAAAATAAAGCAGAATACCCTCGGATACAATAGAAGTAAAGAGGGCACAAGAAGAAAACAGCCGTAGTGAAATACCAATATGAAAGACGAGCTAGCCTAAGTCGCCGCCGCACACGGTCGCCACACGGGGACCCTGGAAAACTCGTAAATTGGACAATTGGACATGCCTTTTTCTCTGTTTATTGTATCATTATTTGAAATAGAGATGAAAAATCTTTCAAATTTCGAAGGCATTCGGCAGGCGTAAGCAGCGTGCATGAAGACGAGTGACAATTTTGCTCGGAATAATGGAAATTCAGTAAACTCATTCAACCCCAGCTCTTTGCTAATTTTGAAAGCCCCTCACACCGCGATACGTAACGGTTTTTTCTTGACATTGTTGCCTTGTTCCACTCGTAGTGTTGCTGTGCTGAATGTGCCATCTTTTCATTCAGGACAACTCGCGAATGTAGCTAATTAAACTGGGCTTTCCCTGTTCAGTGAGCTGATAAAATTATTTGAGGACACGCGAAGCTAGTGGAATCAGGTGCTGTTTCTTCTTCTTTGTTTCTTTGCGAGCTATATATTCAAATGCATATACCATTTTCACTTTGAATTCACTCCTTTTCAAGCCAAATTCACCCCTTCTTCAAACCAAATTCACCCCCTTCATCAAATTAACCACACTTATTAAGCCGGACATGTGTCAAGGATTCGAGATTGCTATATTTCTCGATACATTTTGGTCGTAGTAATTCATGTTATTTGGAAATTACTAAGTTTTAGGGTAGAAAAATGTTACCTCCCAGGCGCAAGTAATGGGACAAAGTCTCGTCGTCAAGGTGTTAACAAAGCACCCGTCCATTGGACCTGCAATGCCTATTCTGCGATAAGCTTTTAAAAACTCCATTGATAGCAGGAT